GTCAATGAGTTTTTGCAAAGAAAATATCTAACAATAGAGTTGGCTGGGTGGAAAGTTTAAAAGTTTGTACCGTTCTTAAAAATCTTGCACAGACTTTGCTCGATCTAAGAGAATTACTGAGAATTTTAATTTCGTTATTAGAAATCTAAGAAAAAAGAATAAAACTGGATGATGAGCTGTGTTTTGATGAGATGCAGTTTTGTCCAGTGCTGAGAATGTGTACCAAGTAGCCTAAAATAACCGGATTATTTCGGAACCCAGTGAGAGGTTTGAGCCGTTGGACAACATAAACAGAAAGTTTAAATTTTTGAATGGAGTTTGAATTGAAGAAATGTAAATAAAAGATCTAAAAATGAAAGCAGAATAGATAACAAATATCTACAATGCGGATCTCAACATTGAAGAATTTGAAATACAAAGTTTCAAGAACCACGCTTTATCAGTTAACGAAACTTTAGAGGAAGCCACATCAAGAGAAATGGTAAATCTTGTTTGTCTCTGACGATATCATTAGTAGATTTTCAGCTAACAATACTCGAAGGATTCAATTTTGAGGTACATTACATAACAAATTTTTGCATAGTTGCAATTAAGTTACAATTTCTGTTACTTGTCATCATCATCATCTTTGGCTCGACAATCCTCTGTGGATCTTGGCCTGCTCTAAGATTCGTCGCCATTCTGTTCGGTTTTTGGCAACATGTTGCCATCTTCTGATTTTTAATATTCGTAGGTCGGTTTCTACTCCATCTAACCACCTAATTCGCGGTCGGCCTTTGCTTCTTGTTCCTACAGGTGTTCTGTTACTTGTATATAATTTAATATAAGAGATTTCCATAAATGAAACTTCCTAATGGGGTCAGGAAAGTTTTTTGGCAAACTGATCTTTGCACTCCCTGACTACTGACTAATCTCCTAGTTCCGCACTGATAATAACTTAAGATGCGAATATAAATTTGTCAATTATTTCGTATATGTATGATACTACCTCTATTGACACATATTCAGTTATAAAAAGAACTGAATTTTCAAAACTCAGACTGGGTTCTTTACTATACGATGAACTGCTGAGAAATGCTGCGATGATTATAAAAAAAAATCGAAATTAATGCTCTTATTTCACATCAACGTTTACATTTATGAAATATTAATCTAGGTTATTTAGCTACTAGACATAATTTTAAAAATTGATTTATACTTCTACTTCAATACATTCTAAAACAAATTATCTTTTGTGTTTATTCTTTTTTTTTCTTATATGTCGTGTTTACTACTTAATTATTAAAATTGCCAATAGCGGTTTAATAATCATATATGTACGAGTGCATAATTAATTCCTAATAAAATCTTTGTAATATTTTTGAATATATTCTGCCATTTACGATCACTGCCGATTTCTGCCGATCACGATTTTATACCTTATGCTTTTTTGTGTACTGAAAATTTCATATGGGATAAGCAAAAAAAAAGGAAATTTAGACAAAACAACTCTGCTCTTGATTTTGGTCCCCCAATATTGGGCATTACCCTCCCCAGAGCAGCCGCTATTTCCGCTCCATTCATATGTAATACCACCCCTAAGTACTTAACGTACTACTTAGGAGTGATCGACACACCCGCACAATCAAACACAATTATATCTCTCTTTTTCGGGCCTTTAAAGACTACCCTCTCTGTCTTCTCCGCCGCGAGACTTAAACAATGGGCGTTCATTCAGTCCTGAACAAGGGCTGTCGAAGCCCACACATTCAGAGTGCTCCTCCCATTCTTTCCGCCAACAATCTCAGTGCTAACAGGAACCTGACAGCGCCTGGTTCCTCACCTTTACAGAGGATGAATTTGTGCGCACATCTTTCGGTGGACACTCGCCCACCCTCCTCATTGGCATGCTTTACCTGACATACACCGTCTCCACACCTGTGGACTCGTTGCCGGATAAATAGGAATATTGGCAGCTCAGGATAGAGCTAATTAAGCTTCTTAATCATTCCCACAATGTCTGCATCACTCTGGACACGTCCACGTCGCTCTCAGATACGAAGGGACTTCCTCTAGATAGTCCTCTTAAACAGAGCTTCCAGCTCATATTCACTGGTTATCCCCTTAATGTTTGCAACACTCGCAATCGCACCCTTGCCTCGTTTATCTCCTCTCTATATCTGCCACTCGTCTTTCCTCCGAGAACTCCTCCTCCAGGTTGGCCCGGATTCCTATGTTGCTCGTTGGACCTATTGACGCTAATGTCTGCGTTTCCACGCTTGTGGTGCAGACGGACCGGACGACTCCCTAGCTCTCTTTTTTTTTCTAGGAGATCTAGTCGTCTCCTTGCTCTTGCTTTTCCTTTCACTTGCCACCTTATCAGGGGTTCTCTAGGTCTTTCTAGATCGCAAGAAGATTCCTAAAAAGGAAACAGTGTTCACATAGTTTACTTTACTTCTCTTGGTTTTATCCTTCAGTACTTTCATAGGCATACGGGATTAAATTGTGGTTAATCTTCGTCTTAAATCCGATGGTGTAGAAAAGTAATGTCTAAAAAATAATTTACTTTAGCCGTATGTATTTATTATCTTTAACATCGCCCTTGATCTAGTGAACTAAAAAAAAAATTGAAGAAGGCAGTTCTCTTTAAATGACACCGCATTATTTGACACTGACTGAAAGTTTTCGGTTTATTAAGGGATTAAGATTCGTCTCCATATTAAGTATACTTTGGTTTCATCTTAACAAAAAGAAGATCTCTAGTCGAATTATCTCTTAAATTCGTTAGCAAAATTACGTAAACTATAAGAAATAAAGGAAAATATCAGCACATAAGCAAGTTTTAAAATAATTATGGAAAAAGTAAGATTTATGGTAATAAGAGTAATGGATACGACTAAGAATTCCATTTGAACCAATTACTCTTTATCTCTTTTTATTGTCTAAGCCATGTAAGTGGATGTTTTTTATTGTCTAAGTTCTTTATTGTAAGCCAGTTCGACACCAACCAACAAGATATCAAATATAAAAGCGGCACGAAAAAAATACGAAGGAATTCCATACATCGGTATGTAGCATCTTACAGATTCCAACGAAATAATATATGCTTTCGACATGTTTTGTTTTAGATAAATGTTTAAGACTTTATTCTAAATTATTTAAAAAAAATAATGAATCCATACAAGAGACAAAGGGATTAAAATAACATTTGATACAATAATTCTTGAGACCAACTGCGCCAACTATAAGAAATATCGGAAGACATCAGCCCAAGGACAAGTATTAACATTATAACAATAATAAAATTACAATTGAAAGTAAGTTTTGCTCATGATCGCTAACAATGGTTGAAATCCGGAAGCAACAAACCGAAGATTAAGTTTAGTTTAGTTAGCTTAAGAGAGGAATTAGACTGCCCGATCAGATCGACCATCCACGATCGACCAACATTACCGAGTCTATGAAAATGTATGCGCAGAGTCAAACTGGTGGACCATCCATCACTTACAGCGACCGATCGTGATCGTCCAGTTTTGAAATTCGGACCTGTTGGAATTTTTGATCGTTTGGCCGTTGAATATGGAACATTTCGCATTCATTTATACTCTTCTGAGCAATGTCATTGACCATTGATATTTCAAAATTTGTAATTAACCTATAAAATGGGTTGGCTCATGCGATAATAATTTTGAAATTTAATAGAATCATTTAATATAATGATATATAACACAAAGAATTCTCCTTGTTGGTGTCTTTTTAAAAAAATGCCACTCACCTAAACTGTCCTTCGCCTACGAAGACCTCCCCACATCAAATAATAGTTGTTATGTTGCTACACTCTCCTGACGCTTTGACCAAAGAATATAGATAAGCGTCTATATTCTTTGCTTTGACGGTCGGTCGATGAAATACAAACGAGTAAAGGTCGATTCAGACACATCAGTCCCATCACAGTCTCGGCGAAGAACCGATCCTGTTTGGTCACAGAACTATCAACTATCTGACAGATTGGAAAATGTTCGTCAACTGATGAATGTGAATGCCGGCGCCATATTTCTATTAAAAAATATTTTGTATGACAAATTGTTCGGTTCGGCGCCAGGACTGCGACGAGACGTGACTGATGTGTCTGAATCGACCTTTAATGTGAATTTAAAAATAAAAATACAAAACTTGGTTGTTCACCGTCGGACGGTTGGTCGTGGTCGGTCGGGCAGTCTGATGTCTACCTAAAGGTAAAAATTACAAAGAGAGGCCATACAACCTTACGGATCCCGACAAAACTGCAATAGAAGTTTTAGGTATTTTTTATTTTAGGCAAATGTTTGAGAATTCTTTGGTAATTATTTCCAAAAAAAAAATACAATAAAAGGTACTGGAAAACATAAAGGGGAAGAAATAACTTTTGACACAAAACTTGAGAAGTTTGCATTTGGGAAGAAAATAGAAGAACTTGAGTAGAATAACGAAACATTAAATTGATTTTTGCGTTTTACTGTACTACACATGGACGATAAGACTTACAAATATGGACCGAGATTTAAACGGTTAATTGACGTTATCATTACACTTGGACGAAATAACAGACTGATGAAGATCAAAGTACCTTGTGTTAAATTCTTCTTCTTCAAATGCCATATTGTCTGAAAACATTCATATACATGCATATACATATACAATTACATATTATTTTAACTTTACCCACAATCTTTCAAAATAAATTGAATCCTGATAACCCGGATAGAAAAGTTTAATATTTTGGATATCTAAAACATACTTTTTTATACAATGCTATATAATCAATCACAAGGAGTTTCTCTTAGTAATTTTTTGTAAAAACATATTAGTTAAAGAGTGCCTATTAAAAACATACAAAATAACTGGAACCTAAAAATGCATGGCAGTATGTTTTGTATAAATATTTATCGCAGTGTCAAGCAGTATTTATTATCTATTATTCTTCTTCAAAAATCGAGATCATCAGAGGAATGTTTTACTGTTTTTCTACTTTAAAACGAATTTTATTCAGGTTGATATTTTCTAAGACTTTTATCCATCGCCAAGTCTACAAACTTATCAATAGGTTTGATTATAAATGGTATAGTGAACAATCCGATACCCGTGACCAACCATTTTCTGTTATAGGAAGGAATTTTCTCACTTTTTTTCAAAAAATAATTGGATAATGCACAAACCCTATTTATTGTGAATCCAGGAATTGCCACAGAAGCCATTAACTGCCAAATGAGAGTATCTGCAGTTGTGTAAACCACTTTTTTGGTATGGTTTTTTTCATTTATCGCAGTCTGTAACAAAAATTGACATACATATAACTTGCCTATTAATTATGATCATTATAATTACGTATATTGAAGGTCATAATCATTAACGAATTGCAATAACGCTGTCATTACGGTCGTTCTAAATAAAATATGCAAAATTACAAATTGGAGGCCAAGAGCAGACAAACATAGTAGAGGAAGATCACCTACACGTTAGGTTGACGACATCAGGCATATCACAAAAAATTGGCATCAAAGAGCACAAAATCGTAAAGAATGGATGAGTTTAAGGAAGGCTTATATCCAGCAGTGGACGTGATAAATTAAGGCTGGATGATGATGATGATGAAATAAAATACATGCAAAGTTTATAGAAATTATTTTAGACAACTTATGGAACGGTGCATATAAAGGTATTTGTGTTGTACTATTACTTCAGATAAAGTTTTACGTCGCACGACTATTTTACTCTGTATATACATTTTTTCTCTTTTAGTTTGATTTGTAGTTATAAACAATGGATACAACAAACAAACAATTAATAAAATTTTAAATCAAAAACTACACAAGAAAACCCTGAAATTAGTATTTCCACAACCAGAAAAAAATCCAGTACCTTCTGTTCGATTACATATACAGACAAAATATCAACAAAAATAGCAAAGCACATAAAAGAGAAAGGAATAACACCAGCTTTCAGAACAAACAACAACTTAGGCAAATATATTAAAAACAACAAGAGCCAAAATAAAACGCACTTACACAGTGGTGTATACAAACTTAAATGTGGCGACTGCCCAAAAATTTACATCGGTCAAACTGGTAGAAATTTTAACAAACGAATAGCAGAACATAAATGAGATTTTAATAATAGAAAAACAAATTCTACATACGCACTTCACCTTCGAGATCATAATCATTCCTTTAATGATAAAATTTAAATTATTCACATTCAAAATAAAGGCCTTAAGCTATGTTTGTTAGACTTTATGGAAATTAACAAATTAAAAAACAGACATAATTCTGAATGACCAACTTGATACAAACAGTTCTCTTCTCCTCAACCTATTAAAGACTATAAAGTCTAAACGCATATCAAAAAAGAGATCACTTGAGAAAAGCACTCTGCCGAAACAGCTGTAGTGATAAGATTTTATAATAAATTTTGTGGAAGTTTTGAAAACAGAATTTTCAGTATTTTATTGTTATGGAGAAGGAAAAGATTTAAGTGTGAATCTGAATTTTGCTTAGATATCTTCATCTTCGGATTTTTACTTTTTGCTTTCAATGATGTTGTCTTAAACATATTTACTTCATGGCATCGCAAGACTCCTCTGTTTCGGGTCAGCACATATGTAATAATTAACACAGTTAACATCATTTAAAGGGTTTTTTCCGCATATTTAGTGGCTTCATTTATGTATAAATAATATATGCAAATAACTGCACTGATGATGGACTTATTACACCGAAAACGATCTGTGGTGTAATCCGAAAAGGTATTTTTAGAATATATATAATGCCTTTTATAAAGGATTTTTTTAATAAAAAATTGTATGATGGTATACAGCTAACTACAGGAATTGAATTTTTCTGGTGGATATATAACTAAAGATCTATGTAGAACCTAACAACTAAAATAAATATAATCTGATACTTAGAACACCTAACGCATGCAACCAATATTACACTAAACACTATCTAAAGTTGCATATTAGGCATTTTAATATTAGGTATCTAATAATATTTCAATTGTTAGAGTAATTTCAATACTTCTATAATTTTATAAAATCACTTACCTTATAAACTGCTATACTTTTATCGGTTGTATCAGCCAAAACGTACAAAGTGGCTACGGCGTATGAAAAGTTTACCCATTTGCTACCGATTATTGATCTGAATGCTTCTCCTACTTCATTCGCGTAACCTTGTAAGAAATTTAATTACTATTAGCTTTATGTAAGTATTAGAACGCTTACCTAGATATCTAACTGAAGTATCCCTATATAAATCTAATTCTTTTGATAGCTCTTCTTGAATTTCATCCATACTTGCACATAAACATTAACTAACTGAAATATTAGGTTATTGTAAGCTTCAAAAGGTATAATTTAGCGCAGTATGTTAGAATGGTATTAAAATAATTAAGTATTAAATGTAATTTAAGTAAATAATGTTTAATTCTTCAATAAAATATGAGTAAATGTTCGAATATACGTGTATGATCCGTTTATTACATTTATTAAAATCATATCATAACGGCCTGTTGGTCTAGGGGTATGATTCTCGCTTCGGGTGCGAGAGGTCCCGGGTTCAAATCCCGGACAGGCCCAGACTTTTTTGTTATTTTTGCAATTCTCGAAAGTTAAATCAATTATTATACAATTGAAAACCAATATTCTTTTTATTATTATGAAGCTATTTTCTTATGGCATTTTAAAGCAATTATTATTTTAACGGGAATAAGCCACAATTGAAGTTTAAAAAAGGTTTATTGACGTTTCAATTTCGTTTCAAAATTGTTCTCAAAATACAAACATTAATAAATTAAACAAATGTTAATTTTGAATTTTAGCTGACTCATTTATATTGACAATTCAGACATAATATAAATTTTAAAGTAGAAGCCTTTAAAATGATATTGCCAATATAGCTGAGTTACGTTCCTGGGACAACTTTATTTTAAGGTAGTTCATTCGAGTACATGAAATCAAATTTAGCGTGAGAATATCCGTCAGAAAATAATATTAATTGAAACTATTTTTCTACGTGTTACATTTTTGAGATATTCAAAAATAGCAAACTGTAAAATATTTTATTTCGCGTTTCGCATTCTGCATCCAAATAAAGAACTTACCTAACAATTTGTCGTTTATTATCAACAGAATATTTAAAAAAAAAAAACAAGAAAGTTCCGTACTAGCACACAAATATCATACATTTACTAAATTATAAGGATTGAAATACATTAAATGAAGCAACAGTCTTTTATTTACAATTTTTAACAAAATTTAGTAAAATTAAAACCTTCCACTTCTTTTTCTTCCCGTATATTTCGAATTAGCTCTAACTTCTTTCCCTTGTCTTCGTCTTCTTTCTTTTTTCTCCAAAATCCAGGCTTTCCCATTTTTTAAAGGTTTTCCGCGTTGTTGTTTCATTTTATCTCTCTTAGCGGTATATGAAACACCTAAAATGGAATATTTTTCCTATAAATATAAAACTAAAAAATTAAAAGAGAAAAAAATAAAAAAAATTCACTTTGTCAGGTGTGGGGTTCGAACCCACGCTCCCTCTCGGGAACCAGAGCTTAAATCTGGCGCCTTAGACCGCTCGGCCAACCTGACTTACATTAAATGTTGATAATACCTAGTTGAGTATAAAATCTGAAACTTAATATCTGAAAGTATCAAATTTTTATATTACTGAAATTCATAAAAATGTAATAATTGTTTTTATCAATATTTCGTAAAAATTTGCCGGTCAAGAAACAGATAAGGTAGAAAATACTTTTACAAGCAATTATAAAATTAATATAAATAAATGTGTGGACAACTTCTTTCCTAGATATCTAATTGACAAAATGCAAAAGTATCAAAAACATTAACACGTTTACTGCATGTGATTTTTTAATAACAGGTTCTTCCACGACAATTTTGTTTCCCAATATATATCGTGTTGGCCGTGAAAAGGGGGACAAGTCATAAAAGGTGAAAACGAGAAAAACACTTATTTAAAATTTTAAGAAAAATGATTTTTTTACAGATGTTTAGAATGATAACATACTTACAGTTTGTTTTTACATGTACTTTTCCTATATCGATTAACATTTTTTTGTAGTATTTGGGTACAAAATATGTTTAAAGCGATATTTGTTTGACTTTACTAATTTTTCACAAATACACACATGACTTACCCCCTTTGTCATTGAACATAATAATGATAACACAGGATAATGGAAAATTTTATTACGTTAATACAAGCTTACTTAACTGGAACGTATATTTAAGTACTTAAAAAATTAAACATTTATTACTTATGCATACAAATTTAGCTAAAAGCTAAGCTTTAATCGTCGACAGTACATAAGTTAAAGAATCCGGGAGCATATCAGCTAAGTCTTTATCTCTTCTTCTTCTTCAAGTGCCCTGTCCTTTGCGAACGTTGGCTATTAACATGGCAATTTTGATCTTGTTTCCGGCGCTTCTGAATAGTTTGACCGATGTGAGCCCGAACCACTTCCGCAGATTTTGGAGCCACGAGTGTCTTCTCCTGCCTGGCCCTCGCTTACTGTCTATTTTTCCCTGGACAATCAATTGTAGCAGACGGTACTTATCGTGTCTCAATATGTGGCCTAGATATTCAAGCTTTCTTTGTTTAATTGTATTCACGATTTCTTTCTCCTTTCCGATTCTTTGGAGTACCTCTATGTTGGTGACATGTTCGGTCCAGGATATACGAAGAATGCGTCGGTACACCCACATTTCGAATGCTTCTAGTTTTCTCGTTAGCGTCTCCGTCAGCGTCCAGGCCTCCACGCCATACAGCAAGATCGGAAAAATGTAGCATTTAACTATACGTAGTTTTAGGGGAAGAGACAAATCCTTGCTTATGAGGAGCTTTTTCATATTGCTAAATGCTGCTCTAGCTCGTTCTATTCTCGCCTTAATTTCTATGGTCTGTTCCCATTTTGCATTTACGTTGGTGCCAAGGTACACATAAGACTCTACATGGTCAATTAATATGTTACTTATCCGTAATTGTCGAGCAGGTTGTTGCTTTTTGCTTATCAGCATCCACTTTGTCTTCTTGAAGTTGAGGCTCAGGCCGTATTCCTCACTAACTGAATAAAGTCTTTCCATTACTTGTTGTAATTCGTCTATGGTACTGGCAAGGATCACCGTGTCGTCGGCATATCTTATATTGTTCGTTAACTCGCCGTTTATTTTTATGCCCCCAAAGTTAGGGAGCTGTGCTAATACCTTTCGTTTATTGTTTTGCGGTATAGTAGGCACGAAATTTCGTTGGAAAATTTACGGGAACAAGTGCGAGTAAGACACTAGCAAATTGCCCCGATTATATTCTTCACTACATTTTTCCAGTTGGTTGCTGTGATCTTTATGACTTCTCTTATAATTAGATGGACAACAGTAAACGAACATTTAGAAGCCGCGTTTTTCTCCTTATATTTCCTTTAAATTGAGCCCATATTAACTCTTGGTTCAATGTATAATAATAAGGAGCAAGAATATGAGCAATCTCCAACAATTGCTTTTTACTATATGGTGCCTCAAAATATAAATCTTCCTCAAATTAAAACATCTGAATTTGTAATTTGTTCCACGTAATATTTGGAATTTTTCTCATTATTCTTGAATAATATGATTATATCTTGATTGTCCATGACGATCACACTATGTTTCAAGTAATTTTGGAAGAAGAGATTTTTCAAACCATGATTTAAAATTTGAACTTCTCATATCCTGATAACAATCTTTAGACACGTGTTTAATTTTTTTGCAGATATTAATTAATGCTACATCGTCGATCTATCCATTTTCCAGTGGCGGCTCGTTGCTTGAGAGACAAGGTCGGCAAGGTATTTTTTGTGTCCACAGATAGGTATACCGTCCAATAAAGACTTCAATCATCATAGGAGATTTTTTGTTTTCTTGTTTTTTTTTGTTTTTTTTTTGTTTTTTTTTGTTTTTTCTTTTAAATTTAGAACCTAAACATGTTTATAAATTAATTCTAGTCTACGTTGTTTGGAAGTAGCAAAATGGGTAATAACGTCATCGTAAAATTTATTAGCGTTTTGAAGAGATTTTAAAAGTATTTTTTTCTATTGACATTTGAGACAAGCTTGACATTCTCTCTTGTTTCATGGTATTTCGACAATAATTTTTGATTCTTTTGAGGCAAGAGAAATCTCGTTCATTTGAGGTAGACGTTGGTGGTAATGAGAGAATTAATGACAATAATGTTGGATATAGATAAATAAATTTGAATATTTTCTAGCAGTGTCATCTATTGGCTACTTTACTAGTTGAATAATGTATCACTTTCCTTTTTTAGGGTAGTAGCAAAATTACAGTCATAGAGTAAACACGTGTTTCATTTTGTTCATCAAATCTTCATTTTTGTTCCAGAACTTTATAATTTCTCAATAAATAATTTATTAATTTCGGTAACAGTTTGTTGTAATGAATTGCAATATATAAAATTATACATATCTTGTAACTTATCCCATCTTCCGAAAATATTTGGATCAGCATATAAAACTTTTAATTCATTTTCTAATTTTATTTTACTAAAGAATGATGGATAATTTTTAATCAACCTGTCTAATAAATATCTTGGAAATTCTTTGGCGCAACTTTTAAATTTTGAATCGTCAAAGAGGTCAAAAATTTGCAAATCTTCAAAATTCGAAAAACGAGTATCTATTTGCATAATAATCCAAAAGTAATAATCATAAGTATCCAAAATTTCAAAATATAGGTACTTGTTTTTCGAGATCTGTTTCTTTGTCATACCTTTATCTTTTTTTGGGGGGTTCGGAAATATCAAGCGAGTCCAAAACGTCACTGCGTATATACTGGTAATTACTATCATTACGAAAATCTGATTGAGATTTTGCACCAGTCTTGTTATTCTATTTTTGGAATGAATAATGTCAGCTAACTGATTTTGAACAACATTGAATATCAAATCGGTTTGGGTAAACACTTTCTTAAAAATATTTAAAAGTATGTTAAAAGAGTAATCATTTAATAAAGTTTTCACACCGATTGCTTTATGGATCGAGATATCATCACTTTCAAAATCTTCACATTCAATAATAAAATCAAAAACTTTCAAAAGCTGTTCACGAAAATCTGCTACAGTGAAAACTAACCGAGATTTAAAATTCCATCGCGTCTGACAAACTGTTGGCATTTTTTTCGAAACAAACCGTGCTAAAACATTAGTCCGTTTAGGCAAGCTTGAGAAAAATGAAGCAAATCCGCTTAAACTGGCAAATAAAGACGACGTTCTTTAATTTTTTTACATGTATCTTGCAAAACTAAATTCATTCTATGCACATGACAATGAGTAAATAAAGCTTGCGGTGCAATAGTTTTAACTTTTGCCTGGAGACCATTTAATTCACCAGACATCACGGCAGCGCCGTTATAAGTTTGCCCTACCCATTTATTTTTGATATCAAAAAATTTTAATTTGTCCTTTAAAACACCAAAAATATGTTCTGCCTTATGGCTTTTACTCACGTCTGTAAAACCTAAAAACCTCTCATAGATATTATCACGTAACGCGTATCGAACAACAATTGACAATTGTCAATGACATGATATGTCTGTAGTTTCATCTACTTCTAGTGAAAAGCAAATGGTTTCCTGAATCTCAGATTCAATAATGTTACTCAAAATGTAACTAATTGATTCTTTTAATTCATTCTGTATTGTTTTAGATACACCGCTAAATGTTTTCGAATCAGAAAGTAAATTAAAAAATTCCAAATCGTATTTCTTAAACATTTTTATTAGTTCTCTATAATTACCTTGATTTAACGAATGATCCGATTCATCGTGTCCCCTAAAGATAATTCCTGACAACTTAAAAAAATTTCAATACCAATTAAACGAGGTAATACTGCGTGATTATTTTTTACAATTTCGTTATGTTTAATAGCATTTTCACGTTGGGCATTATCTAATGAAACATGGATATTTTGTTGTCCAAATAAATCTAATTTAATCTGGCTGTAAGTATGATCTTTCGAAATAACACGTTTATGTAAAGCCCTAAATAATTCCTTTAAATTATCGTAACCAGATTCACACCACGGATTTTGATGTTTGCCCCTATTTGTCGAAACTAAAATGCAAGGACAACAAAAAAGTTTGTTTTTTATTTCACTCCCAGTAAGCCATGAGTACTTGCTGTACCAATTATCTGAAAATGATCTATTACTTCCCTTACCCGCACTAATATTTATAAGTCGGGACATTTTAGGCAAAGGACGCCCCTTATTTTTAATAACAATTTGTTCTTCGTATGGAATTGATGAAAACCCATTATGCAAAATATAATTTACAGTATCAGACTTATCAATACTTACAGTTTCTCCCATGGCTTGCATTTTTTAGGTGTTTACTGAATTTGTTTACACTTTAATTAAAAAAAAAA